AGCTGCCACTTCCAGTATTTGGGCTGGCGTCATATAAGCTCATGGGTTCAATTTGGACCTGCAACGGGCAACACGAGCAAGAACAAGCAAACTCATTGCTGCAAGCCGCTGAGGACTGGCTTCGTCTTCTAAATGTAGACCATCCTGACTTCCAATTCTTCCTCTCCCGCTACAACTCACCTTGGAGATAACACGAGAGGTGTATTTTCTAATGCTAATTTTGGTTCTTGTGTTGAGGTTTTAGCTTCCCCACTTTCATGTATGTACATTTTCGGGGTTTATATAAGGTGTAGATAACTTCCCCACTGAATGTGGTGTTTTTGAAAGAAAACAGAAGTATGGACTAGAGAATAGCTGTGATGTTGACGGAATCGATAAGTTTATGAAAAAAGTTTGTTAGGGCTTGTCTGAGGGGTGACTCATTGTATCAGCATGAAGCTCAGCGTTGCATCCACATGAGGCCAGGTTCGTGTTTTTTGATTTGTCCTGGTTTGAGTTTGATTCTATTGCGTGCAAATCGCTAGATTTCACTGGGATGGCTCTGAAAAATTTGGAGCTTTGTTCCCCCGTCATAGCCGATACCTCATAGAACCAAAGTACAGATGGTACGATTTTTAGCTTGTTCTGCTATGAAGCCTCTTCTCCCGGTCCGGATGATTTATCCAATCTAACACGTATGCTAGCTCACAAAAATGTGAACGAATACCATCCCATACCTCTTCTAAATTTTGTAAGTTGGTGGGAGCGTTGCCCTTGTAGGCCTGAATTTTTATAAGTTTACTTATACTTAATTGATATAAAAATACTGTATTGTAATAAAGTGCCACGTCATCGGTTGCTTCTTGTCTGAATCCTAAGTGGTTTTTAATAGAAACCACCTTTACAATAGGGTATAGAAATCACGAATTTATACATATATTACCTTTAAAGACTTTTTGTTGCCATTAACCATTTGGGCTCACTCTTCAGTTTTTTTTTTCTTCAAAATAATTGATCCATCCACACCTCCATTAATGATAATTTCTCTAATGCTTGGTATTTGACAACTAATTATTATAGCGAAGTTGAAAAAAAAAATCTCTAATATTTGATATTTGACAATTAATTATTATAGCAAAATTGAAAAAACTTCGCTTAGGAGTCCAAGTGGCTGATTATATTAAAAAAAGCTTTAAAGATGTGTGTGTGTGTGTTGTATATAGAAAATGAAATGCGGTTTTTATATAATGGTCCTATTTTAAAGGCGATTTCTAGGGAAAAAATCCAAATCCTAACTTCAATGTCTCATTATTCCAAGTTATCAGACTTTGTCCCAATCATATTGTTTTCAATTACTTAAAATTGTTTTACCAGAACAATTGTCCCACTTATCCAAAATTGTTCTAACCGATAACAATTGTCGCATAACTCTGTAAATGATGATGATCTCCTCCTTTTCGTAGAGCTATCTACCCGCAGTTGGGTGACAGTACAGGGAAATCAAATGTCTGGACCTTACCTCAGCTTTGATGAACATAAATTTTTTGTCATTGCTTTGCCTGAAAAACATCGCACAAAAGATTACATGCTAAGCAGCAAGGTAGTGTTATAAGATAAAAGGGGCAATACAGGTGAAAGGTAAAAGGGGCAATATCCACGAGACTAAGTAAAAATGTCGATAATACCATATTCTTCAACTTATTAAAGTATCTTCAATTTGCATTTTCCTACTTCCAACAGCGCCTATAAAGGAAATTTTGCGTCACCAGCATATTCACAGGAATTTCTCATGCTGTAGTTTCCCGACCTTTTTCTTAAATTTGATTCTCTGACCACAAGATGGTAGCATCTCAGGGACCTTGTATAAAAACACGTATTGAACTCAGGGATAATAGATTAAAGGCCTGAAGCCTTTCTCCTTGCTGAAAGTTCCTACTTCATCATCTTAATCGACGAACAGCACGATGGGAGCATATCAGCTGAAGTTTGATCGCTGAAGGAAAGCACTATCTACGTGTTACGTAATCTGTCAGGTCCATATTCGATGGGTTCGTATCTTGGGTGAAACAAGTTATCACCCACCTCAAATACAAAGCGGTCATCTTTTGCAGGGATTTTCTCGTCAACAACCCATCAATGACATGGAACTGCCTTATACATAGCTGTATTCGCTGCACAATTTAGTTTCTTTAAATTGTAGATTGATGCTCGAGTTCCATAGTTACATCCAACACAAGTTAATCTTTATTTCTCTAGAAATGCAAATCCTTTTTATCTACAAGTGATCCACACAGCATTCATCATAACACATTCTCGGTATATTCAAGTCTGGCACTAACATACTACAGTCAGATTGCCATATATAGAAGGGGTTTTTCATGGGAACCACCTTAAATATAGATGAAATTGATACAAACCACCTTATATATGAGTTATCCTCTCAACGTCACACCTCCTTCACTATTCAGCCCAATTTAAAAAAAAAAAAAAAAAACCCATTTTGCATCCCCTCTTCCCCTCCCAGTCCTCCCCCACCTCATTCCTTCATTCTCCTCTCAATCTCCTCTTCTTCCTCCTCCTCCCCCCTTCACCTCCTTTTTCCTTTCACCTCGTCCTCCTCCATTCTCACCTTCCTCACCTACCCCCACACCCCACCCCGGTCCTCCTCTCTCTCTATTTTCACCGCTAGCGCCGACCTCCTTCCCTCCTCCTCTCATGCCATCCACCCAATCAACTTCCACCCCCCTCTCCTCCTCCTCCTCCTCTCTTTTTTTTATTTGGTTAGGCTGAGGGGTATTATAGTAATTTCATATATTTTTAAAAACAGAAGTTATCCAAAAGTGTGACATTGAGATGATAACACATATAAATTGGTTTGTATAAAAAAATATTAAATATGGTTTGTATCAATTTCACCTATATTTAAGGTGGTTCAAAACCCTTTAAAAGAACCATAAACAGAAGAGCTATAGATGCACAAGGTTCAGGTATAAATAGAGTGTAGCATTCCTGGTAATTCTATAATTACTACTAGGAAATCGTGCCAAATATTGTCATGAAGGGTATAATTCAGCATACGATCACTCGGTTGCAGTATCTCATAATAAAATATTTAATGTGCTTTCTTTCATCTTCAGTGATGACAGTTGTGTGCTTCATCTCTCTTCATCTTTGCCTTTGATAGCTTCAAGCTGATCATTGTATATATTCAAAAGAAAACAGGAAGCATGCGATGACACAGCCATAGTATCTTAGACGTTCCTGAAAACATATGAAATTGGATTTTAGCAACAAAAGTAAAATTTATTGCACCTACCCCAAAGCTGAGAATCTCAGAAAAAGCTTGCTTTACATGTATAGAAGGAAATCTCCCTACTTCTCAAGGGATGTAAGGTCGATAACAGGTTACATAAATGTATTCAAAGAACAAAGAAAAAGGCCGATGTGAAATGCGGAGGAAAAATGATCCCGAACTGCATGGGACATACTAGCATACAGTAAGCCAAAGTTCAACGCAACGCTACAAAAATCCTAGATCATCTTCACTCAAACCTTCACTTCCAATCATTGGGCAGTCACGAGAGTCATGCCCAAATTGCACGCAGCAAGGAGCTGGGCAGCGCCTTCTTTTCCTTGACATCTCAATCTCGTCTCCTCCTCCCCTTTCTTTTAGCTTTCCCAGTGGATAAGATTCACGAGCATGGCCAATTTTGAGGCCATCAATATCCTCACCTTCTGGTATTATCAGGGACTCAGATGGACTTCCATAGCCAACATCACTCAATCCATGAGATGACCGAGAAATTTCTCGAATACGAGATAATGCCAGTGAAATTTGCTCTGAAGCAACCTCAAGGCACTCTTCCGAGTCAATAGACTCTGAAAGAAGAGTGGACGCCATAGACTGCAATATATTAACTCGTTCAGTATTCTCTTTTGAGACAGGCAAACTCACAGAGCGCCATCTAGAAGGTAAGTATTTTTCTGGAATCTGAAAGCAATTGCTTGCAGAGAGGACACGGAGAGCGTGCCTGCAGAGGGTCCCTGAGAATTCAAATTGACGACAACTGCAACTTATGACTTCTTCGTTTGGCTTCCAAATAACTTGGCACCCTCCATCCACTTGTGTGTGATGTCTCACAAGTAAGCAGTTGTCTTCTATTGGAAATGATGCAAATTGTGGAGCCAATACAAGCTCCTCCTGGAGTTTACAGAAGGCATAGGGTGTAAGTATGGAAGCTGCATGAGACTCTATAGGTGACCCGGACTTTAGAGATATCTTGTGGAGCCTTCTTTCTGACTTTTGTTTTCCTTTTTCCTGATCTTTAGGTTCAATAATAGTTGCGGCCTGAAAATGCACATGAACAAGGAAGAATATCATTTAAAACAGCAGAGAGAAAAATAATAGGGGTTTTTCGATATTAGTCCCTTAAATCTTTCATATTTTGACGTTATTCCGTCAATCATAGGAATTGCTAATTGGTCCTCAATTCTTTAAGTTATTTTGAAATTCATCCCTCAAATCATGGAAATTGCCATTAGCCATTAGGTCCCTCAATTCTTAAGATATTTTGAAACTAGTCGCCCCAATCAAGGGTAAACGTTGCAGACTCCAGGGACTAGTTTGAAACAACTTAGGAGAATTGGGAGACCCGATAGCAATTTAATGAATTGAGGGGCTAATATCAAAATAGAAAGATTTAAGGGACTAATATCGAAAAAACCCAAAATAATAATAGGCTGCATACATGCTCAACAAAGTTCTCCCGCTTCGATTGTGCAGATAAGAACCGATGGATGAAACCACTAACTGATTCTGCATGACTAGTCGAAGTCATACCAGCAAAGAAAGAGCATCTCAAGTAAGGCAATGCCCAGAATGTTCTCAATCCATATAAACCAGCGACATGCTTATTTGTGTGAAGGGAATATTTATTAATCATTTTCTTCCATTCAATCTCAAAGTCCTCTACTGCCTCTAAATTATATGCACGTAGGAAATCAGTCTTCCAATTATCATATTGTGAGCCAAGAAGCATCGAAAACCAATCAGAGAATTTAGCAATGACGTGCCAAATACAAAAGGCATGTTTTGTATTTGGCATTTCAATAGAAATTGCCTCTTTGAGCCACACGTTCTGATCAGTTAAGATTGATTGTGGAGCCTTTCCTTTCATAAAACCCAAAAAAGTCTGTGAATTAAAAGAAAGGAATTAGGATACACAGTCATTAAAGTTTATTTATACAGGAAACACTAAACTCTTTACCTTCAAAGCCCAAGAAAAAGATTGCACATTCTCATCTCGTAAAAGAGCACACCCAAAGAAACAATTCATCCCATGATTATCCACCCCGATCCAGATTCCTAATATCATGTCATAGGCATCCAATACTCGAGTTGTGTCAAAGATCACGACATCCCCATATGCATCATAAGATCGAACAGATGATGCATATGACCATGCGATATGCTCCAATCGGTTGTTAGCATCAATCTCGAATTCATATTTGAAATTGGGATCTTCATCTTTGATCCGCTTGCACATGGAAACAAGGTCAATGGCATCATTGTCATCATCTGCATTTCTAAAAGTTTTGAGCAAGTTCCTCACATCTATTTCGGTAAATGGTAAACAACCAAGTTTCACACCTTTCTCTAGCTCTAATAGTCTTAACATTTGCCTAACAGACAATCCAGCTTTCGCAAACATGCAAATGCGACTCTTATCATCTGTTGAAATAGAATAATAACCCGAAAGTTCATGCGCTTCGTTTGATCTAAAGAGTTCATGATTGTGAACATTGCTGAAGCCTGTGATACGCCATTCAGGGATGTCAAATTCTGCTCTTTTAACTATTCTCATATATGCCTGACAACCACAACGAGATGATCTTCGATTTCTATGCAGTCTGTTATCATCTGATTTCTTTGTTTGGGGAAAACCGCTACGATGGCAAGTGAAATCCCTTCTAGTGACACCACGGCCTACACCATCTTTTCCTCGAGTTCGATGCCGTCTAATAGAGAAACCACATTGCTTTGCAAAGGTACAGTAAAACTCATAGGCCGCATCTTGAGAAACAAATCTTTGCCCAATAAATGGAACAAGATTTACTGAAGTTGGCACTGATAATATTGTTTCTTCAGGAATCTCCTCTGTAGATTCTATCTCCTCAGATGTTTCAACTCTGATTATGGAATTGTCTACAGTCTGCATTGTTTTCTCAAATGATTTTTCTGGAAACAACAAATTCTCATTCACAAACTGCACCTGGTTCAAATATTCTTGATTAATGGAATAGAAACAAATTCTTTCATAATGCATACAAACAAAACTCATGCTACAACAATCTCCAAAGCTTTAGCTGTGATCCACCAACAAAACTTTTGAAACATGCATGCATACATGCACACAAAAGCGCACAAACAACTGAACCTGCAAGCATATATACATACAGAAATAATGATAATAATAACAAACATGGATGACACAAATCATCTGTATCTATAATATATACTAATAAAATAACTGCCATTTGTCAAAGAATTCCAACACTTGGCTCTTGAGTTGACACACAAGTTTTCATCTTCCTTAATAATTATTCTATTCTCTTCTTCTAAAAAATTTCACAAGTCAGCCCAATGCTTTGGAATGTTTGCCACAAACCCAATATTTTAGAACAAAAACAGAATATATAGTGTAGTTTTAGTAAAACTAAGAAAAAAAGAGCCTACAGTGCACATTAATGGTCAAGAAATACCTAAAAGTAATCATTTAGGATCAATCATTAGGCATGATAGTGAGATAGAAGATGATGTTGTACATCGAATCAAATCGAGATTGTTGAAATGGAGTGCCTTGGGTGTCTTATATGATCGTAAAATACCAATAAATGTAAAGAAAAATTTATATAGGACAATTATAAGACCAACTATGCTTTATGAGTTTGAGTGTTAGGCAATTAAAAAAACATGTGTAAAAAATAAGTGTAGCAAAAATGAGAATATTGAGATAGTCTTGTAGGTATACATTAAAAAATAGGATAAGAAATGAGGGCACATGTAATAAATTAGAGGTTGCTACTATTGAGGATAAAATGAGAGAGGATACATTAATATGGTTTGTTCATGTACAACGGAGACCTCTTAGTGCACCGGTTAGAAAAAATAATAATATTATAGTTAATGGGGCTAGGGGATTTAGAGGTAGACCCAAAAGAACTTGGTTGGAAGCAGTTAGAAAGGATATGATTCTGACTAATTTAACAGAGGAGATGACCCATAACAGAATGGAATGGAAGAATAGAATTCATGTAGCCGATCACAAACATTTTAGTAAATGCTTTGTTGTTGTTGTTTCCCACAAAACCCTTTGAATTTTGTTTTTCCACAAAACCGCATAACTTATCCATAAAACCCCACAACTTTAAAGAGTCTCAAGTAACCCCCAAAAACTTTTAACTTCTCGCACAAAACCCTTCACAAAAAAGTTTTTGCAATTGCAAGATGTGGGAAAAACAAAGTTTGGGGAGGCTTCATGGAAATGCCCCTGAAGTTTTGGGGTGTTTTGTGAAATTTACCCTCTTATCTCTATGTTTCCAACATAAAAAACTGAAAGCTTCAAAATTCCTTGACAACCTAGATCTACTTACTATTGCCTTTATGAGCGCAACAACATTCTAATACTGAGTCGCTTGCAACACACTAATAAAACAAGTGAATTGTTACTCTCATTGACATCTACAAATATTAGCAGCGAGTTGTTTTCAGTTTCATCTTTTACAGTAATTACAATCATTTGAGCAATAATCAGCTCAGATAGCAACTTTTTGTTAGGTATTATGTTAGCAATATCTTTACCTAATTATAACTAAAAGTCTGATAAGAAACTAAAATTTCCATTTCCTCTACATATACACTATAATCAAACAAATATAAATAAGTAGCGGATACCTCAAGTTCACAGTGTTACCTGTAAGCGAAGTGATCTAATTTATACCAATAATAATAATAATAATAATAATAATTTCACAACCTGTAAGCGAAGTGATCCAATAATAAAGCGCACTATCAATTAACGGTAATTTAGAGGGGAGATTTCAGAAAATTAACCTGAGGAGTAGCTTTCTATAAGAGATCCTGATCTCATCGCTCGAAGAAACCCTAGAAATCCCCGGAACTTGATCGAGGGGGGTTGATCATCCCCCATCCCTACCCCAATTCTGTATTCAGATCTCAAAGAACGGAAAAACGAAAACCCTAACCCTAACCCTAATTCTTATTTACTGAATATTTTGGGGTTTTGAAGAACGCGGGAAAATAAATTGTGGGTAGAGTGTGTCGAGAGGAGGAGAAGGGCGCGGCGCATCCACGGCGAGCGAGAGGCGATTTAGAAGAAAGGTTCGGCTAAGGTCGCCAACGGAGGGCACAGCTAATCGTGCGCATCCTACCTGGCGGGCGGCGACATGAGGACGTTTGCACATGCGGCGCAGGTTAGCGGGAGGCCCAGTGGGTAGGAAAGATCGAAAACGGATTATCGTGTTTCATGAGGCCCAACATTTATCGGATGGGCCCTATCATGCGCATGCGCCATGTATTTGGAGCTTAAGTACGTTCTGATGGCCCATGAGCTATGGGCCTTTGTTTTATATGGAATTGTTATTTGTTTCTAATTTAAAAAAATACAGAAAAATCGTTGGCTCAACCTTCGATTCACACGTTGGCCGAACCGGAAAATTTTTCTTGAAAATATAGATGACAATTATCTATTTATTCATAAATTATATGTATAATATTATACAACAACATTCTTGATAAGTGGAATAAATTCTCAATTTAGATTTGCTAAAATTCAAATTGACTGCAAATCTTTATAAATTATATGGGCCAAATAATAAGCTTATGAGGGTTGAGATTGCAATTTCAAAGCTTAAGGGTGCAAGTGCAACTGCCCCCAACCCTACATTTACACCCGCCCTTGGATTCACAAATCACTAGCCAATTTGTAAGGGTTATGACATTAAGAGATACAAATCAACGAAAAATTACATCTATTACAGACCACACAACATCTTGATGCCAAGAACACATATGATTTCTAAAGCGAAGAGAGAAAAACAAATAATATATGATTTGTTCATTATATCTAATTTTGGGGAATATCTTAGTCATTAATCGTTAGCATGAGTGGATATCAGTAGGTATCTATATGGCTTGATTTTCGTGATAGAAAACACTAGAGGCACACCACTAGAACACACTCCCAACCACAACCCTCTCCCAGCTACAGTGTTTTTGGGGCCCACATGCTTTATTAAAAAACTGAAAAACACTGTAGCTGGGAGAGGATTGTGGTTGGGAGTGTGTTCTAGTGGTGTGCCTCTAGTGTTGCTCTTTTGTGATTCCTCCGACCAAACTGTAATGGTTATTCTCAGGAACTTTTACCAATCTTCAATTATTGCACAAAAGACTTTCTCCCAAGTCCCACCTTACAAGTACTTCAACTAGCTTATATATCATTATTATATCCTAATAGTAATGGTCCCGCCTCAAGGAAATCTAGTGCACATCACACGTGCAAAGCTTCAAAACCCAACACTTTCCTATCTTTGAAAAAAAAGGGTTTCTAGATACTAGTCCTTTAAATTAAAATGGTTGCTTTTAGAAAGTTAATTTTCTGAAAAAATCTTAGAGCTAAAGAAAATTTTCTGATAACCCCAAAATTTAAAGGGGGATTTCAGATATTTTCAAATGTTGATGTCAGATGCTTAACAGTGGGACTTAGGACTGATTTTGAAGAAGTTAGAGTCCATTGATCTCTTTTGATGGTTGATCCCCTGATAGAAAGAGAGTTCTGTACACATGCAACATGTTAGAGGACCGGGGTTCGGCGGTTCCTTCGACGATCAAGTTAATTATGATCTGAAGGGGAGAAAAGAATTTCTCTTTAAGTGTGCAGAAGTTGCGTACCTCCATGCAGTATGCAATGCACCTATATATAGCAGATCCACGAGGGCAGTTGTGTAACTTCTACTGAGTCCAAACAGTTAGCTTATTCGACAGACACTTTACAGGTGCCAGTTGTGGGTGGTATGAGTCACCTTTCTGATTAATGCGATGGTGATAGGAGAAGTAAGGTGCTGATAAGGCCCGATGAGTCATTAAGACTTTCGTGGGGAATGTAGTGATGACTTTGACTGTGCATTTAATATGATGGTGATTGGCTTTCGGCGAAGGGTTCGAGAATGACCACCTTTCATCTCGACTTTGTGAGAGGGTCGATAAAAGATGCCTTTTGATCGGGCCATTTTGGATTGAGAGCTTTTCGACTCGGTCTTATGAAATGAAAAGGCGCGGAGTTGGTCTTATCAGCACGGTCCGAGTGAGGACGCCTTTCGACTCAGCTCTTCTTGGGAGTTATCGAGTGATGATGTTATTTGGCTTGTCCTGCACATGACGGAAATGATTTGGTGTATAGTTAACTCGGGACATGTGTTGTCTCCTATAGCGGGATTAACTAGGGCTGTCCATCCGGGCCGGCCCGGAAAACCGGGCCCGGGCCGGGCAAAACCCAAGCCCGGACCCGGGCCTGAGCGGGCCGGACACCGGGCCGACCCGGTTTGTTTTTTTTTTTTAATTTTGTTTTTTTTTATTTTTTTAAATTTTAACAAAACCATAAATTATAAATTATTATAAAAAATGTCATAAATTTTATTAATAACTTGAAATGAAATGACATAAATTACAAGTACAAAAAATGATAAAAATAACTTCTTTATTAATAATCGGTAAATCCTTTACAAGTATAAATTTATTTCGAAATTCGTCGCATCACAATAGATGAGTACATCCCAACTAGGTTGGCACATACTCACCCATATCACTATCATTTGCAACTTTTTTCGAAATAATTTAATTCAAATTTAAAGCTAAGAAATAAAAATTACAATTTTATGAATATTATCTAATCATTATATCTATCTGCTAGTCCCAACTCTTCAAATTTATCTTCAATCATAGCAATCCGTTCGATGCCTTGTGTTCGCTTCTCGTATCTCCACCAATCCTGTAAGCACATCACCGCTTGTACAGTATACGGATCTAAGCATGTCCTGTGGTCGTCGATCAAACGTCCTACTGTGCTGAAAGCGGATTCCGAGGCTACAGGCGAAACCTGCACTGATAGTAAGTCACGAACCATGGTGGAAAGTATATGATATGAAACTGATCCATATACTTTCCACCATTGCAAAATATCTAAAGCATTTCCTTGACATCTAACTAAAGAAGCAGAAAAATATTCATCTATTTCAGAAACATCTAATCCTGATGAAGTTCCAGATCCACCAGTTAGTTCAGCTACCATTGCATACCTATCAAAACTTACACTTTTACCTCGACCTGTGCTCGAAGCTGAAGGTGCCGAAGCTGAAGACTGTTGTGTAGCTACACCATATCTAGCTGCATACTCATCATATAAGGTTTGAAAATAATTTCTAATAGCTAAATAATGAGTAGTAGCAGTAAGGGTGGATCCATCATCTAAGTCTATAATCTGTCCACCATACAATGATTGTAACAAACTTCGAAGGCCAATTTCCTTCAAGCATGGATCAATAAGAACACCAATACCAAAAATATGAGGAATAGGCCTAAAATACTTATTAAATTTACTCTCCATTTCAAAAATTATACTTCCAAAAATATCATCCATACGATATTTTGTAAAAAAATTTTGAATATTTAAAATTTGTAAAGCAGCTAAAGTAATAGTTGGATAATAACAACCAGATAATAACATAGTAGCATCATAAAAAACTTGTAACATCTCATTTAATTTACATATAACTGTCCATTCATCTTCAGTTATTCCATAAGCACTACCAGAGCTAGAACTAGAAGCATAAAAATTTATAAAATCATTTATAATTTCTTTATATTCTATTGCTACAGATAACATTGCATAGGTGGAATTCCACCTATGGTCAACATCTTTTGGAATTAGTCTAGGCTTATAATTTTTTCTTTTACAACATTGTTTCCATCTTTTAATTCTCATTTCAGAAGCATTATGCATATTAGTAACTGTTCTAACTTTTTCTATCATGGGTTTAATTTCAGAAAATGCACTTTGAACAATTAAATTTAAAATATGACAGATACATCTAACATGAAAAAGCTCACCATGACATGGCAATGACAAAGTTATTTTCAGAAAATCAACAGCTACATTATTATTACTTGCATTATCTAGTGAAAGAGTAAATATTCTTTGATCAATTTCTAGTTTCATAAGTTCTTCAACAATTAAATTTGCAACATTAATACCAGTGTGTGACTCTTCAATTGCAATAAAAGAAACAACTCTTTTAAACATTTTCCAACTTTCATCAATCCAGTGTGCTGTTATACATAAATAACCAGTTTGCACTCTAGATGACCAAATATCAGAAGTTAAAGAAAATTTGCAGTTTAAATTTTTAAAATAAGAAATTATTTTTCCCTGTTCCTCAACATAATATTTTAAAATATCACGTTGACAGGTTTGACGAGAAAATTTTGTAAATGCAGGATAAAAACCATCTCTAAATAAATCTTCAAATTCATCATCTTCTACTAATTTAAAAGGAAGGTTTTTAAGAACAATAAACCTGATTACGCATTTCCGGGCTCGGGCAGCGTCATAATTCCAACTGCCGAGGGTACCTGAAGAGGATGATTGGGAAAGCATAGACTGCCGGATATCACCTTGTAGATTTTGGCCTTTGTTGTGTTTTTCAATATGCCGTTTGAGATGGTTGGTGCCGCTCTTATGATGAGCTTTGAATATCTGGCCGCACAACGCACATTTCGCATTCTGAGAGATGATCCTACCGTGTTCATCCTTGGTGACGTCTATCTTCTCAAAAAAATTCCATACATCAGACCTCGGCCTTTTTGGAGCTCTTGGTGCCGTAGATTCGTCGCCACCAGATTCAGGATTAACACCGGTAGGATGAGGAGTTGTTGTAGGAGGACTCATCTCTGGATCGGTAGGAGTTGCATGTTGCTCTTCATAATCAGACCCAGAAGCCATTTGTTGGAAGTATTAGAAAATACAAAAGATTATAGGATAGTATATTAGTATGAGATAGTATAAGATTGTATAAGAGAGTAGTAGAGAGAGAAATAGATGAGTTTTGTTGTGAGAAAATGAATTGAAACCCCCCTCTATTTATAGAACCAGCCCCCTAGGTAAATGACCAAAAAACCCTCGAAAAATAGCCCTTTTTGACCGTTTTAAGGGGCAAAACGGTCAAAAGGCCAAATCTGGCCGTTAGGCCAGATTTGGCCCGGGCCGGGCTGGGCAACGGTCACCTTTGTGACCGTTATGGCCGGGCCGGGCCGGGTCGGGCCGCCCGGCCCGGCCATTCGAAGAACCAGTGCCCATTTTTGGGCACTGTTCCGGGCCCGGGCCGGGCCCGGACAGGGTTCGCCA